TCTTTCCGCTCACGTCGATTGACTGGATTGTTTTCTCGTTAGATGTACGCGAAAGTATATTTTTTAATTGTAAAGTAAGGTTTGTTTATGCTTTCCTATTTATTTAATTTGTAAACAAACGGTACAATTCACAGTAAAAATATTACATAATAAATAGTAACCAATAAAGTTTCCATTCATAATTATTACACAGAGCAGACAAGGTTCGATAGAAATAAAAAAAAAGATAGTACTAAGATGTACTCTCACATCGAAATCTTCATATTATGTTCAATTATTTTCTCAGTAATAGTTAGAACATGTGTACTTTTGTTACTAGTTATCGAAAGACTTGCGATGTAGAGCGGCTTAGCCGGTTCACTTTATCCTTCGGAATCTACTCCACTCTTGTAGGGTTAAGCGAAAATTGTCGTTCGAATTACATGTGGAATCAAATGCAATCATATAGTATATATATTTTTGTAACACAAAAAAAGAAAAACTACTTCGACCTGTCAATATTAGTTATAGGACTAATTCGAGAGTAAAGTTTGTCGATTAATGACATCATTATTGAAATTGCTGCAAAATTGACATCTTTTCCAATCGTGTAACAAATACACATAAAAACAGTCCAATCGAGAACTTATTCCTTTTTAAAGTCGGTTGAATACTGAAATTAATATTTAAATGTTATGAAAAGGTTCTAAAATACAGTTTGCTATATCTGTCCTATATAATACAACACTTGACTAATAACTTCTCACAGTTTCATCTAACCAATAAATCTAGGTTGACCTCTATACAAGGGGCTCGCCATAAAAAAGTTGAGGTCAAATTTATTGGCTGTACGATAACTGAGATATTGCTACTATATTATCCGTTTTTAAAATGGAAGCCTAAAATGTTGCAATATACAAAGCTATTTTAGTAAATAATATGTTTATGCTTGCGTTGAATTATATATCTGACAAATGCGGGGTTTGGACAGATGGTAGTATATGAAATTGTAGTTGAATAAAAATCTTATTTTACAATACTTTGAATAAGTAACATTCTGACTTCACCTGATGGAATCTACTAATAGTTGTCAACAAACATCATAGAATATACTGAAATAGAGACTGAAAATACTTAAAGAAAACAGCACAATAAACCTAGATATTAAAAAAGAAATCCGTTGAAAAAAATACTACAACGATACGAAGTATGTGGCATATAAAAATAGTGATAAAACGCAGAGTTTATTATAAAAAAGAAAGAACTGGGATAGAGACTCCAGCGTCTCATGCTTAGCTATTCCTGATGACTAAGATATTACGTCTCGGTGCCCTATAATTTCGGTAAGATATGACTGTCTACATACCAATCTTTAAACCGAGCAATGCGAGTTGCAGCTGATGACAGAAATACAAATATGTTAGATGTATTCTTGCAGATGACTGTACAGTATTCGTGTGGTACTGTTTAACTGCAAGGAAAAATTAATTAAAAGGAGTTTGCCTGTTTGTTTCCTATCTATTGGCGTTATTTGGTTGATTGAGCCTTAAGGACATTTTGCATACACGTAATTTATATGTATGAAAGAGGATGCTGATTGACTAACTGGCTGATCTGTATATCAATGTACGATACATCCGGAACTGCTGAATCTAGAATCTTGAAATTTTGCAGATAACATCTTTATATAACCTAGATAAACGATAAGAATGAAATTTTGGAAATTAAACCCCTAAGGGGGTAAAAGGGGCTGAAAATTTTTATAAAATTTTGTCATCCTAAAAGTTAGACACGTAAAATTTTGGTTTTAGACTCTTGGTTCAAAACAAAAAGTAATACGTTTATTATCTTTTAAAGAATTAACTTTAAAGGGATAAAATAGGGCATGAAAATTTATATGATAAGGGATTATGTTATAATTGAAACTAGAAGTTCGAAACTTTAGTTTTAGACTTTGGATAAAAAAAATACTTCTTAGTATTTTTAGAAATTTCACTTATTTCCGAAAGCCGCCGGCAAAAGCTCGTATTTTGGTTAAAGAAGGAGGTAGATTATTTTTTATCCTGATCATGAAAAAGTGAATTCACGGATAATGTAATAAATAATTTTAATCATCTTGTAAGAAATGATTAAAATATACACTCAAACCATTATACTATCTTTCTGGCAGAATAATAAATATTATAAATACTCATGAATAAATCAGTGAAACTGCCTTTATCTAAAGTTTCAGGTTTCATAAAATATTATCTTGTTAACTTTGCAAGTTAATATATTGTTTAATGTGTAAACTTCACAATGTCTTTTTCAAACTTTACTCGTATTAATGTAACGATTTATCTATTCTGTTCTATCCTTAGGTCTTTAAAATACAGGTAAAGAGACCTAGAGCTCCTTTTTTTTATTATCACACAATTTGCTACCTTCTTTCGTTTATTATTTTTCTCATCATTTCAGAATTCCTTTGACTTCTCCTTCACATAGTATTATCCAAACTGATCGTGATAAATCTGGCTTCCCTGCAATCTGCGCCCATCCTTTCACTTCCACATTTACCGTTTCGTTGTTGTTTGATCTTTTTATACATAATATTCCGATCCATCGTAGCCTGCACTTTTTTGTTTTTATTATTATATTTCATATTAACAAGAGACATCTATATAATCATTTTGTAAGAATAATATGGTTTTTAAACTTTAAAATACTGGATATAGGCATATAAATGAGGAATGCTCATACAAAATAAGAAATTACGACATAAGAGTACTTAATTATAACATTAATATATAACGCGAGAAACTCATTTTGAGTATTCCCATGTATTCAGGTGTCACCTTGACCTCGCGTTGTCCGAACAGGCCGTAACGTTGTCACTTCGTTAACACCTATTGTTGATAAAGTTACGCTGTTACGTCCAGATTAATTTGGAACATTGGAAAAGTCTTGTTGATAGTAAAGGGTCTAATTAATGGGATAAAAGTCCGTATTCCATATTAAAGTAGTTAAGTACATAATATTTCAATTGACAAAAAGGAAGAGTAAAAGTGGTTGCCTAAATGAATATATGTTTATTGTTAATTGTAAACCAATTTTGTCAATTCTTTAATTAATTGAAACAAAATTTTATTTCTATAATCGTCTCTTACTAATTTTGTCGAGATGAAAGTTTGTTCCTTAAGTCTGTTTCTTAAATGACTTTTGGCGATACAAGAGACTTTTGTGTTCATTGCGAGATTCTTCGCCGATTTTTAACCTATTTTAATATTTAATATCTATGACAGATTCCATATTAATTCTACTGGTATTTTTTTTTAGAGAAAAAATATTTTAACTATCTAATATTGCTAATTGTATTTAGCACCGTAACTTAATAGGTTAATACAGTAATTTAGAAACAAAAGGTTTTAGTTGGTCGTCCATTCAGTATGTGATAGACGAACACGGAGAAGGATGTCACGTATATAATTTAGTAGAGAAATTTCTTAAACGAGAAACATAAGGTTTTAAAGGAAAAGCGTACAATGTAAGCTATAGTCAGATCACGTAGTGCGGTTGCTTAATCTATCAGACTATTCAAGACGTCGACATCGGTGAACCGCGAGTTCTCGTCTTACTGACGCAAGTCCGAGCTAAAGATTATAATAGAGCTATTTCGTAATATAACTTCATTCATGCTTTGATGTAAAGAGCGTTTAATTCAACCTCAATGTTTTTGGTACGAACTCGAAAGATTGTAGTAGTTTCTAACCTTCGTATATTAAATCACCAATTGAAGAAGAAATGTTTCCATTAGGGTAAATATTAAATGTTATGATGTTTTTAGTTAGTGAAATTAAAATTGTTAGTAATTTCAATTTACATTCAATAAAATTACACGTTTAGGTACGTAATATTTCTTTTCACTGGGACATTTTGGTTTAAAAAAAACTCAAACATAATAAGACACACCTATGACCTGGATTGTATAAAGAATCTTCGAAATTGGTTCTAATTGTCGAATCGTATAACAAAGCCACAAAAATATAGACGAACTGAAAATATCCTTCCACTGGGAGTGGCTTAAAAGATAGAGCACCGTAGGATTCTAAGTAACAATAACGTCACTGTCTATGAACCTAAAATGTGTAATAGGTACGTCAATGTTAATGAATTGAGCGCTTTTGTTCTTTTGTATTCTAATGTTAAAAGATTCCGATCACAAGAAAGTAAGGTAGGTGGAGTGGTTGAAGTTTGAGCATTCTAGAAATTTAATTATCGATATTCTATTGACGATATTAGGGACGCGGATTTGAGCTATTATTCACGATATATTTAACGATTGTTGAGATGAAGGATACACTAGGATATTGGAGGATTTATTAATAATGAGAGATTTTTCTTAACACAGATTCATAATATTTTATTAAACTCTTTGAGGAGAAATACATGAAGTTTTGAGGGAAATATAATGCACATTTAACACGAGTATCTTTACGTAGATATGTGAATAACATTCCACTTTGTTTAATTTTGATAATGGTTTCGAGGGGTGTGCCCTACATGTATTGTACATAAGTGAGATAGCTGAACGGCCGGGCATCGGTCCTTTAGGTCCTCAAGGGCACAGAAGGACGTTCAGGGCACACCACCCTCCTGTGTATAGGCGGTTAAATTACTCCTCCTGTTTGTTACGGTCCGTGACTTCCCAGTGCTTCTGTATTGCCGTATGAGTTAAATGACACATTAATGGCTCGTTTATGTGTATGCAGCATTTTTAGGATATGAAATTTAGAAATACCGGTTTGAGTACTGGCCTTGGTACTAAATGACTTTGTTCTGATGCGCGGTTTGAATTGTTATGTAAAATGTATTTACTGGTCTCATTGTTTGCTCACAATATGTGCTAACAACATGTATTTTCTATTTTATGTATTAAGGTATTTATTAAGGTAATTCAACAAATCGAATGTAATTTTAGGTTTTGAAAGTACATTCAGTTTGTTTCCTTATATAAATAATATCCTTAACCAACCAAAATACAGATATGTAATCACAGAGCTACTGCAGAGTGACTTGCACAAGATTATCGTCTCACCACAACACCTATCCGCCGACCACATCAAAGTCTTCCTCTACCAAATACTAAGAGGTGAGTGTCTTTCAAATACCGTTATAATGTTATATATTTAAGGCTCTTTATCTCAAAAGAAAAAACGGAACCCTTGTACGATCACTTTGTCGACCCTTTTTGTCAGAAAGGCGCAGAGGCATCAAGCTGAAATTATTATCATAGAAGCTGTGAATATATTAAACTTTTAAATAAACGCAACGCAAGATACGCCTGTTTATATTGTATATTTTGACATTTACAAGGAAGTCAAAATTTATAGGGTACTCCTTTTGATCTAGAATCATGAATTTCAGCTAGAAGCAATGTCGTACAGCTCAAGTAAAAACAGTTAATTTGTAGTTACGTCACAAATAAAATATTATTATTTATATGTGCAAAATATTTTGTTGTTTTTTAATAACATTGTTGGCCGGTTTCTTAATTGTGTCTGTGTTCAATGGGAGATTATGTTGTATTTTGTACTTGAATTGTTTAGCTTTAATTTTGCATTACTTCTAATAACTAAATTAAGTGTATCAAATTGTTATCGAATCTACCTGACAGATTATCTTCACATGTCAGGTTCCTAGTTGAGCATTTAACCTACATGGAACTTTTGTTAATGAAAGAACAGATTAAGAGTTAGGTACTGACATCGTAGAAGCCCAAGAGATTTGCCCAAAGGCTCGACAAACAAAGGTTGATTGCGGTGGACCGGACTCGCCGCCGATAAATTCAAGTTTAAAACAAACCGTAGCTCCCCGAGACTAGTGCCACGAGTCGTCTCAACTTGACGACAGCGATGCGCCTACCGTAAATCAATTAAAACTTTTCAAGTTTCCAAAACTTCGCTACAACTATAACATGCCTGAAAAAGTACCTCTTCATTACTCATTCGCGCTTGGGGTTCTACTTGCATTTAGTACAATATAGATAGCGCATCAAAAACTTAAGCATTTCACTATTTTTGCTAATGTAATCTATTTGAGCGAAAAGAACCGTGACAGTTTCAGCTGCCCCGTTTCTCGATTCTTTATTATTAATTTGCGCAATTATTTGAGCAGCTCCATGAGATTTCCCGGGAGTGAAACGTGCAAGGGGGATCTAGAAAAATGCGCTCGTTAAGCCCCCAACGTTTGCCGGTTTTAATTAAAAACTTTAAAGTTGCATCGCCTTGATGGCTCAGCTCCGTGATAGAATAGACTACGTGTCTAACGTTGATTTTGATAACTTCGTTGAACAAAAGGCAATTGTTTCATTACAGTGCATTAGCCTGGGGTGCATAGTACAGACTACAGATAATAAAAAGCATACATTTATTTTTGTTCAATACAATTGAATGTATCTTTTCCAATGACGTATGCTTATATTTGAAGAATTATTATACAAATACTTTTACATTTGTAAGTTATTTTTCAGTATTTTTATGATTGTTGGTATTAATAACGTTATATTATTGTACATACATATCTGTCGCGCATGTCTCTTATTAGGTTAAATTGTTTTAATGAATTTATTTAAGGAAAATCGTCGTACATTTTATTTAATCGTCAAACTTGAGTATTAATAACACGAAATGTGTTATATTCTAAATTCGATGATCTGGTGAACTTTGTATCGCTTACAGTGCCATATATTAATAGTAAAAGTAATCTGAAGTAGCGATTCTCATACACAGTTACCTATTAATAATTCAGCTAAATTATCTATATAAATCCTCTAAAGTTCAGCTAAAAAATCCAAAATTTTTGAATTTTTTAGCTTAACTTTAGGGGTTGCCGAACAATCCTGCATTATAAATATTAAAATAAAAAATGTATAAATTCGTATCGCTCAAGGTGTTTTGGAGGCGAGTTAATCACACACACACACACACAAAACATTTTTTTTTATATACGGGAATAGTAGTAGTAGTAGTAGTAGGATATATAAAAATTCTGTGCCATCTAACGAAACCGCTTAACCGATTTAATGAAGTTTTGTAAATGTGTAGTGTTTGCTCCAACTGGAACAATAGAATAGTTTTTATCTTCATAACTGGTGCTGTAGTCGAGATTTTGCATGTGGGCAAAGCCAGCGAATTGTTAGAACTTTATGTTTTTTACCTTCAGATAACGTCAATGTTAAACAAATGGACTGCCATTTGTCCGTTGTCAGAACTGCAGTTTGCCAGTGGTTATGTTTGAAATTAAATATATTTTATAAGTTATACAAATAGTGACCAATATGTCACGTGTTTATACGTAATTAAAAACATTTTATCGTCGAAGCAAAACGAGTCAGCTTGCGAGTGCAGGCTTCAGCGTTGGCGTAACGAGCAGAATTATGGAAATGTGGAGCGAGCCCGCCGACGAGCGACTATAATATTATTTATATGTGAGCTTTTTTTCGTTCAGGAAATCACCTCCACAACTCGTGTAAGCTACTAGGGATTTTCTCTGATAAATGTCCAGACCATTTTGTTACCTTTCAGCCAATTTTTCGGCTGCAGAAACTATAATCACTAAAATCGATATATCTATCGGTAAACCGTTGCGACTAACATAGTAAATTGGTAAATGACTATTTATTAAATGTAATGATTTGGAAAATATCGGTTTCCTATGAATGTTGTATTTGACTTTGTATTGTCAGTTAAAGATCAAAGTAATTTGATGTTTAATAATAGAAAGCATGAGTTTAAGGGAAAACCGCAAATCTAGAAACCTGTCAATGTTGTTCAACGCATCGCTAATGAAATTTACTTCGAGGTTTGCCGTCATCTGTAGGATAAGACCCTTCTTAATGCGTGAAGAGTGCTCGGAGCCCGGGAGGATGTAACGAAGTTTATAGATATTTTCAGAAGCGTAATCCTCTAAAATTAACTCTAATATGTCAGACGGGAAGGCTGGAAATACACAGAGCAGTACTTCGTAACAGGAAACGTATAATGTGGTACGATCTGAGTTTACATGTTTCATAAAATCCCCATCTGTCAAAAGCGCACGAGCCCCATATTTGTCTAACCGTTGTAGTCTCTTAGTACCGCAATAAATGGAAATACACGAGATGGCTTATGGCTATCTATCAAATAGCTTAACTAAGCTAATGAGCTATTAATTTACGTTAGTTTTTATTACGATTAAAACAAACGAAAACACTTTTAGTTTCGGTATTCTGTTTTCGTAGTAGTCAATTTTGTAAGTGCCTTTCTATATGTAAATATTTTCAACGATAACCCAAACATAATTACAAGTACATACGTTCAGTGCTCCCAACCTTTAAAAAAAACTTTAGCGTTGCGTTGTAATGTTTCTTTCAATCTACATAATTAATTTATCAATACTGAAATCAACTTATTTTCTGATTAACGAAGTCCATTGCATATATTGTTTTTGCTTTGGTTAAAGTTTTTACCCGTATCTTACATTTGGAATTCATCTAAGTATTTCGTTTAAATTTGTAATTTTCGTGTTCCATTTCCGTTGAGATCTTTAAGAAACTTTTGTTGTTGTTTTATTGTTTGTGAGTAATGCTTACTTTGCCTTAACGGTGCAAGTCGTCATTCGGGGCGTTAATTGTGAAAGCAGCTCCATCTGCTGTCAGGTCGACCGTGAGATCAGACGCACGCGCATGCCCCGCTGCTATCCTCGCATCACTTTATTTGTCCAACTCAATGCCGCGTAAGCAAACACTGTTTTATGAAACGGTTTACTGTTACCGTTGTTTGTATGGGAATATTGATCATATATCAGTATTGTAATTGGATGTTCACATTGTGATCTCGATCACGGCGATCGAGATTCTAAGTTTATCGATAGCATAGATTTTTATAGTTTTTCATGTATAATAGTTGTCATAATGGATTGCCCTGATTCTTTATTGTACTGTCTCTCCGTATAGAACGCCAGGAGTAAGGACTAAACTGACGTTGCGGTCGAATGCGCGCGCGCACCGGACGACGACCCGCGTAGCTAATGGGCCCGCTGCAATAAACAGCTTTTACGCGCGAGAAGAGTGCTTCTCGCCCTACGAGTGTTATTGAGGTTTTCTCCACACCTGCCAGTTGTCCTTTAGAAAAGGCATTTAAAATTCTTTATTTTTAAAGTACAATCTAATGGCTTCGTTTCCTACAGCCTCTAGTTGTTGGTACTATGTTATTTTAAAAAGGATTTTAAAAAGTGGGAGTTTGTTGGCTGCTGAGGTGTTGCTTCAGTTGTATGTATTAGGAATGAGTGGGACTGTTTATATTTTATTTTTATTACAATATGGGTTTGCATTTGACCTTACCTCGCCTGATGGTATGTAATGGAATGCACTTACCCAAAAAAAAAAAAAAAAAACTTATTTACCATCGATTTGAAGAGTCCCAACTTTTATTTTCCGGAAACAAGTAGCTTTCTATCTGTATTGCTGAATTTACGAGTTATTTTGTTATTATAATTATAATTAAAGCTTGCTTAATATTGCAATTGATCTGTATTCATTACTTACATATCTTTCAAAAAGTAATTATTGAAACACCATCCAACGAAGTTAAATTGGATGTAGGTTCTTCAGGTACGCAGTACATCGTTTTATCATAAAACTCAGTGGAATTACGTAGAGGTGAAAACAGCCGCACACCCACTGGGAAATTAAACTCGTCGCGGGCCTGCGGGGCGTTGTTAATTTGTTGTGACGTCACAGGCGAATCTGGGGGGCGTCAATCTTCTTATTTTGTTTACCACAAATGCTTGAAGCGTTTTGCTTTCCCAGGCCACATTGCTCTGTCTACCTACCATCAAAGTTTAGTCGGAATTTTGGATCCTAACGAATCACGGACTAAAGTTTGAAATTACGAAAGAAATGATGTTAAAATAATGTAATTAGTAATTAATATTGTTCGGAATATTTATGGTAGGATTCTACGGGTCCGAATTCAAAATGAATGCGTTTCCTTGTACGCATGAATTTTCGACTTGAATATACGGAATTGTTTTTTAAAGTAGACCCCCAGATTTAGTATGACTTCTGAATCGCTCTTTAAAAAATAATCGAGAACAAGTGCTCTTGTAGAT